TGGCAAGCCATTCAGTGACTCTTTTGATATAGACTTAAAATTGACAATAAAGTGTTATCGATATTATGCTGGATGGGCAGATAAGATCCATGGCAAGACAATTCCAATTGGTGAGTTGGGTCATAAACACTGTTTTTTTTTTTTATGGAAAGAATGGATGCCTGTGAAAGAATAATACTTCAGTGGCTTATTATAGTATCTGTATTATATTATAGTATCTGTATTATAGTATAGTATTTCCAGCTGTTGGGTATATGTAATTAGTAGGAGGGGAATTGCCCAGGAAAGAAGTTCTTTTGGTTCCATTTTCCTTTTGTTTTTTACCCATGTATGAAAGAGGCGGGGCTGACGCTCATGGAAGCCAGGGGAAATCCCTGCCCCCGGGCCGTTAGTGACAGCCCTGAATGTACATAATTATACAATGTAAGATCAAAATTATATTCAGTTAAAATGTTACAGTTGAACCTCTCTACAACGGCCACCTTGGAGACAGAAGAAAGTGGCCGTTGTAAAGAGGGGGCAGTTGTAGAGAGGTTTTAAACAAGAGTCGTAAAGAGGTGGCCATTAGCGGAGGTTTGACTGTATTTCACCCAGGTTAATTAACAATTATTCCTCGAGCCTGAACGGGCTCTGACTCAATAGCCCATGAGGCGGAAGGCCGAATGGGCTATTGACTCAGAGGTTATGAGCGCGAGAGGAATAATTGTTTTAGTAAAATCCTACTAGTTGGTCAGAAATATTGAGTTAAAACCACTGTAGCTAGCAAAACGCAATTCAGCCGCCATTGTTTTGGTTTTCAAAGCTGGCACTTTTCGCTGCTAGTGGGCTATAACATATAGCCTGGTAGCAGCTCAACCAATCAGAATGCAGCACTGATAATAGCCCACTAGTTGGATTTTACTAATAATTGTTAGTTTCCTTTGGCTGATCTACAGTTGACTCTTTCTTAACGGACACCGCTAGAGTTGATCCCTGGCTTTCTTTATTCCCTTTATTTGACTATCTATTAGCCGGACATCTCCCTAAGACAAGACATACTTCATAGTACTAGTTCCCAAGGTGTTGGTCGTAGAAACAGTTAACTGTAGTCCGTTATTACTCTAGAATTACATGTAGGCAAGGAGAATGCAAGGAGATTAAAAGAATCAACCTTCAACTTAAGTTTAAAAAAATCAAACTGAAATTTAATTTTGCCTTCAGAAATTTCTGGAACATCTTTGGCAACCTTTAAACATCCTGACATATAGTGTGCTGGATGATTGGGTCTCCTACGAAAAATCGTTACCTTTAATTATGAAAAATCCTTACCTTATCCTGTTACCTTTCACCACTAAAAAAGTCGATTGGCAGGTGTTATAACCTAGAAAATGTACATGTTTTATTAGTCTGAAAAAAAGACAAAATTGAACCACAAGCATAATTTTGTCGAATCCCTTATACAAAATCCTGGTTTTTGGTATATACATGTACGGTAAAGGCAACAGTCTGCTGCTTGGTTCTGTCTGTAGGGATCCAACTATAATGCTATCTGAATTTGTTTAGATGGTGACTTCTTGTGTTATACACGTCATGAACCAGTTGGCATTGTTGGTCAGGTGATTCCTTGGAACTTCCCATTGTTAATGCAGGCATGGAAACTTGGCCCTGCTCTTGCTACTGGGAATGTAGTGGTAATGAAACCCGCTGAGCAGACACCCCTCACTGCATTGTATGTTGCATCACTTATTGCAGAGGTACATGTATAGCTAGTGAATTTGTTTTTTTCCATAATTAGTATATTACAGTAGCTGTTACCTCTTTTTAAGAAAAGATGGCATTATTTGTCTCTGGTTAGTGAGTTTGTCAGTATAGCGGTGTCTTGATAAATACATTTAAATTTCTGAGAATCGTTTTTATCAATACGTAGCACTCCTCTGTCAAAAAAGTTTCTCTGCATGATAGTATGAGAGTATGGACACGAATTACAGCAAAGATTCCAAATGATGAAAACACAAAAAAGATGGGCGGTTCCCTTGAAAATTTTGGAGCATGTTGACATCTGCATTTCTCTTATCTCCATTTGTTAGTTAGGTGGCCATGATTGTATTTACTCTTAAGACACAACTAAGTTAATTCCCACATCGTTAGCTGACTGTTTTGTGTACTAATGAAATGTCCAAATGTTGTCTCGTGAAGGAAAGGGAAAAGAATAATTATTTGACCTTGCGATATACATGTACATGTAAATCAAGAAAACATTTTTTGATTTTGGCCCCGGCTTTTCTATCCTTTATTATGTCTGCTTTTCTTATTAGTTCAAGATCAAGAAGGCTGCATGTTAGAGTGGTTTTCGTTTGAGTGTCGTAAAACCAAAACCAAAGTAATTACTCTGGCCAATCACATAGGACACAGACAATACATTGAACCAATCAAAACTCGAAGTAATTACATGTGGCTGACGCAAAGCGCGGGAAAATGCATGCGAGCGCGTCACAATTGGCTTTGGTTTTACTTCTGATTGGATGAAAAGGTGGCGCGAATCTTTTAAGCCAATCGCATCGTGTAGAAAGTGCAAAACCAATTACTTTTCGACACTCAAATGAAAACCGCTCTATTATGTTATGCAATTTTATTTTTGTGTCTGTGTGTATTTTCCAGGCTGGTTTTCCACCAGGTGTTGTAAACTTGGTACCTGGTTATGGACCAACAGCAGGAATGGCAATTGCAGAACACATGGAAGTTGACAAAATTGCTTTCACTGGTTCAACTGAGGTAGACCATGCATATAAGACTGTGTAAATTCTTACATGTACACACGTCAATGAAACTTCGTGTCTTCTTTCTTATTCTGGCAAGTTTTTGAAAAATAAAAGTCAAAATTTCTGCTGTTACAGTGACGTGGAGGTGCAAGGCTGTGCTTTAAGAAAACTGATCGGAGCCCAGTGCTCTGAACCTGTCAAATCCAGGATGCCAAGCAAATTATTGTTTTTACATTTATTAAGAAAACTAAGATGCCTAGTCGCCAAGGAGCAAAAGTAATAAACGAGTTTTCAGCGAGTTAAAGCAGAACCGTACAGAGTTTGTTATTATTCCTCCTGTGATAAAGCAACCTACAGCAGTAAAAAAAAAAAAACCTTCTCTCACCCTTGTCATGCGTTACATGGGGTGCAGCATACACTCAACTTTTTTGACAAAAAAATCAGTAAGTAGATTGTTAAGTGCGTTAATTTTTCCCGTTCTTTTGAGCCTTTTTTACTTAAAGAACTCTGATCATTACCAGCATGCCCCTACTGGGACAATGAGGAGATAGCCTGGCTGAGTGGTTAGCGCTATGGACTCACAATCTGGCGGTCCAGGGTTCGAGTTCCGCTCTGCATGGCTATTTGCTGGATTTGTTCTCGGTCGTCCCGAGTTCAAATTCTCGGCAACGTTTTTGTAAAAATAGCCAACTGGTTGCCTTTTGCCGGTTGGGGATTTTTATGTTCTGTTTGGATTATTTTTTCTAATAATTTTAGCCTGTAGCAGGCGTTCTGATAGTAGAGCGCGGGGTTACGATAGGAGAAGCGAGCGAGTTAAATCGTACGCCGGGAAAACGTGGGGAAAAACGAGGGGAGACTGGGGAAAGTGCTTTTTTTTTCCTCGTCAATTTTTCGCCTGCGCTCTAGTATCCGAACCCCTGGAACAGACTAAAATTACTTGAGTAGAAGTGCCTGTAAACTAGCTGCACTTTCCACCATAAACAAACCTTTTTAAAAAAACCTTTTTCGACACTTGTGTGACCTTTCACAGATTGGCCACTTGATCCAACAAGCATCCGGCAGATCCAACCTTAAGAACACAACACTTGAGCTGGGTGGAAAGAGTCCTAACATAGTGTTTGCTGATGCCAATATGGACTATGCAGTGGACAAGAGCCACTTCGCCCTCTTCTTCAATCAGGGTCAGTGTTGCTGTGCAGGGAGCCGCACATATGTGGAGGAGTCAGTTTATGATGAGTTCGTGGAGAGGAGTAAGGAAAGAGCCCAAAAACGAGTGGTGGGTAATCCGTTTGACCTCAAGACAGAGCAAGGACCACAGGTACGGTGTGAATCATATACAATTATACTAGACAATTACAGGGGCTGTCTGTAAACTCCAGTTGTCCAGTTAGACAGGTATCCCCGGCTTAACCCTTTGAACCCTAAGTTCAAAATTTGAATTCTCATTTGTTGTCCCTATTCATTTCCTACAGAAGTAGTGGAGAGAAGTTGATTAAATATCAAGCAAGTTCATCTTGTGTGATCATGTGTGTAATTCTCACGACCACTCTGTTTTACAAAACATTGATATTACAAGGAGAAATAGGCCATTTGCACGATGACATCATTCTACTACTACGACCAGAATCCTTCAGGGTTTTGCTTTCTTGTGCTATTAGGGCTTCTGTTATTCTAGCCTGCGAGCAAGCTCTCCTATTTGGGCGAGCGAAGCGAGCCGCGCGTGAACGCGCGAGCGAGCGGCGAAGCCGCGAGGGGCCGGCTTTCTCTTCCCCGCCCCCCGCAGTCGCGTCTCCTCTCGCGTGCCTCTCGCGCGTGTACCTTTCACGATATCCCCCAAATGGAGAGCTTGCTCGCAGGCTATTGTTAATCAAACCTCACTGGGATTAAAAAATTTAAATATAAAAGGAAAAACGAAAAGGATTCTGGTCGTAGTAGCAAATGACGCCATTGTGCAAATGGCCTATTTGATGCTGATCACTCTTAAGGCTTAGAGTCTAGGGAGTTGACTGTATCGAACTTATCACGGTTTTTGAGAGGATTTTTTTCAGTGTTGGCAAGCACGCGAGAGTCACACTGTTTTTGTTAGAATTACAGCAAAATATTACCACTAGACTACGTCAACTACTACATGTATTTGACGAAAGTCTGCTTAACATTGCTCTAATTTAAATTAAACTGCCTAGTAACAGGGAAATGTTTTAAAGACTGAAAATTTACAAAGATCAAGCGACCATGTTTTTAGGTTGGAATATTTTGAATGAATAATAAAATAAGTATGAGATACGGCTTTCGTATGATATCATATAATTCAGATATCGGAGGGTTGATTATCGGCCGAGGCGGGTAGCACCCCGTCACAGCTGTACGTCGGGATAATTTTTCAATTCTTACTCAGCCNTTGAATTCTCATTTGTTGTCCCTATTCATTTCCTACAGAAGTAGTGGGGAGAAGTTGATTAAATATCAAGCAAGTTCATCTTATGTGATCATGTGTGTAATTCTTACGACCACTTTGTTTTACAAAGCATTGATATTACAAGGAGAAATTTGATCACTCTTAAGAGTCAAGGGAGTTGACTGTATCGAACTTATCACGGTGTTTGAGAGGATTGTTTTTGGTGTTTGGGAAGCACGCGAGAGTCACACTGTTTTTGTTAGAATGACAGCAAAATATTACCACTAGACTACGTCAACTACTACATGTACTTCACGAAAGTCTGCTTAACTTTCCTTTATTTTAAATTAAACTGCCTAGTAACAGGTAAATGTTTTAAAGACTGAAAATTTCCAAAGATCAAGCGACCATGTTTTTAGGTTGGAATATTTTGAATGAATAATGAAAATAAGTATGAGATACGGCTTTCGTATGATATCATATAATTCAGATATCGGAGGGTTGATTATCGGCCGAGGCGGGTAGCACCCCGTCACAGCTGTACGTCGGGATAATTTTTCAATTCTTACTCAGCCTCATCCAGTAATTGCTAAAATGCTAAATTAAGAAATTAAGAAACGCACTCGTTAGCTCCAAAAGAGGCAGCTCTACTCTATTTGTTAACTAGCACTAAATAGTGTTTCCTTGAAAACCAGGCTGACTGGCTGTTTTACTTGTATTTTGAAGGTGGACGAAGAGCAGTTTACAAAGATTTTGTCGCTTATAGAGAGTGGCAACCAGGAAGGAGCAACACTTGTGTCTGGAGGAGCAAGACATGGCGACAAAGGATTCTTTGTTCAGCCCACTGTGTTCTCCGATGTTAAGGATGACATGAGAATCGCCAAAGAGGAGGTTCGTCTTAAGCAATTTTGTTACCTTTTTTTTTTCTTCTTCATCTTTAACATAGACAGGAGACTCAAAGACTACCTCGAATTGTTTTTCCCTCCAGTCCCGTGCTGACAACGCCGATCATGGTCGTGAATAGAGGTTGTGAATAGCCTTAGTGGTAAAAATATTGCCGCTAATAAAGTATATCTATCTATATACCGTAAAATTCCGAAAATTAGTCCCTCCCTGTATAAGCCCCTCCAAATATAAGCCCCCCAAACTCGTAACACAAGGAACCTTTCGTGAAATCGCCCCTCCGAATATAAGCCCCCTGGGGGCTTGTACTTGGAAATTACCCTCAAATACAAAGTAAAACAAAGCAAAAACGGTAAATTTCCTTCCAACTATAAGCTAGCTCAATCGATTTTAAAACGCGAACTTCCCTCCGTACATAAGCCCCATCCAAATATAAGCCCCTTAAAAAGGGCCTTGGAAAATATAAGCCCCGGGGCTTATTTTCGGAATTTTACGGTATTTGTTTATTTGTGTGCATGTATTTCGCAGACTGTCTGTGTACTGTACTCTGGTTGAAATGGTTTGACAGTGACAGAGTTTGCTAAGCAGGAAGCAATCGTTGTCAAGCAGTGATTCAAACTTGTTTTGACTGCCATGTTATTTTCGTTGTGTTAG